GTCACATTTTGTTTATTGGTTAGTAAGCATTATGATAAATTAGAAATGTTAACATTGACATCTTCCCACTACTACTGCTTTGTTTAGATGATTGCTTATTTTTGTAATTTAATCTGCATAACCCAATGTATAATCATTAAGGCTTAAACATCTTAAGTCAAAGTTCATTATTAGAACCTTCTAAACTTTGTTGCTAAGTGCGGATGATAATTAGTGTCAAGAATATTAGGGTTAGATCTATTATATGAGTTATTATCGCACACGTTTCTCCTATTACAGGCCACTTTGGATATGCGAAACGGCAAGTTAATAGCTTGAACTGATTTACACATATTACGCCATCATAGTTAGAGAACAAATGTGGCTAAAGGTTCGGCGTGTCTAATCGAACCCCATTTGTCAAACTGTCAGGTGTTTCGAACTTTGGTGTTTGCCCTGGGTCAATGATCTGTTCGGAGGAACCTGCTTAATAGAGTGCACATATGCATTGTAATCACTTTGGCACCCCATCAATGTCGGATGATTCCCTAGCTAAATTTGCTAGTTAGTGTTTAGCTTTGACAAATACTTGACTTGTTTGGTGCGACGATGTGACCTCACAACACATGATAACTAACCTAAGTTATTCTCTGCCACTCACCAAATATTTACATAGACATATAAACAACTCAGCAGAGAGAAAAAATTGAGATGTAAAACAAACAAACTTAAAATATTACAAATTGCGCACCACAAGGCTTCGCTTCGCTATTTTAATGCATTTAAGCAAAAACAAATGAAGTAAAAGTAGTAAAACAACAATTGCTGATAAGTTGATTCAAGCATGGGGAAAAAAGTTAAAATAAGACGCGGGAAGTAACAAGAGGCGATAAGTAATGCAGAGAAATACAGAAAAATGTAAAAACAAAGCTAGCAATTTAGCTCCGGTTATAATTAGGTTATCACAGTTAAAAATTTCCTTTGGGTTCTTTGGCATTCAAATATATTTATTTATGTACATTGTGCATATAAGCTATTTAAGCGTGCGAAATAATAGTTCCAGGAACTTTTTAAAGCAAATTTGCTTTACTTACTGACGTCTGGGAAATTCATCGGTCATAAATAGAGAAAATGTTAATTAGCACGTCTTCCTAGTTTTCTTTAACTGATAACAGTTGTTCACTGGGTCCAAACAACGTACTATTTTTATGGGAACTAAACAAGTTCTAAAAAATATTATTAACTTTTTGTGGGGAGTTAATGGAGAATATAGACATCACAATATGTATTTTCAAACGAATGTTTTATATAATATAAAATAATATGTTAATATGGCTTAGAGCTTTTATTGTCTATATGATGATGTATGATGTATATGTAAACATATCTTGGCTTCGCACCTTTCCCAGGCCAAGCCTCTCACACACCTTAATTACCACCCAATCCCTCTAGCAATCCAATCGAATTCAATCCAACCCAGCCCACAAGCCCGATACCGTTCAGTTCAAGCCTAGAATTCCTAACCAGAGTATGCTTTTGCATACCCATTAACTTTTCGCAATGTCTGCTGTTCCTGGTTTCAGCCCCTTTGTTTTGCTGGCTCTTTCGCGGCTATCAGGTCTCAATACCTGTTTGCCCGTTAAGCTCTTTTCTGCTGGCTCCTCTTCTCTGTTTTGCTGTCTTTGGCTTCTTTTTGTTTTGAGGCCGGTTCTTTGGTTTCGACTTTCTGCCATTTACTTTAAACTTTTCGGGCCCAAAGAAACCAGTTGATGCATAGCCGTTGCGGAGCATGTTCGCCGCCGTTCCCCAAGTCAAAGTACGTGTTCTCTATAAGTATCTAGTGCTGAAATATAATGATTTTAGCATAGTTCGATTATAAAGTGCAACAAAGTATTAGGAAAGCATTAATAAATCATCAGTTTTTTCAAGACTCTTGAATAACTTAATGCTTAAGTATTATGATGTTGAAATCATATGTCCTATTCTATAAGTCTTTTCGCTTCCTGCTGTGTATAATTTCGGTTCTTTAAGTAGTCAAACGTAATGACAACACAATCAACGGCCATCATTCCAACGCAAGGACGGTCTAATATCATAGTCTCACCTTCACAAGAAGCGATGGCCCCGTCAGTTTGGCTGAAAATCAATTTCAAAGCTGCTGCCAGTCAATTATAATGTACTCTAAATTAATTATTAAAAATAGATAGCTGGTTAAAGCGCTGGGCTATCTTATCTGCATCGCAGAAAAAACGAAAACAAATTGCAAATCTTGTTGTGCAAATACTTCTGGTCACCTGAAATTGACTGAAAGCCTTGTCGTGACTGAATTACAGGGGGTAACTCCCTTGGGAATTTAATTTCTTCCCTGCTCGATTGTTTTTACGACTCTCGACTAAACAAGAGATCGTAAACATTAATTGCTTGTATATATGGCGATAATAAAGATCTTATCCGAAGTGCTACCGATTTTGAGATGCAAGCAAAGTGGACTGCAATGATTTCTGGCAAACATCGTAAAGATAACTTTTTTCTAGTTGCTTAACTTTTGACTAACACACTTACTTATCTTGTCAATGTCGGTGAGGCTGTCTTACTCTTCCCAGCAAATAATTATATTAATAAAACAAAAAAAAAATTACCGAAAATTAAATATTAATACATGATACTTAGTACGTGTATGCCTTCAAAATAGACTTTTTATGAAGTTAGGGGTTCACAAAATGTAAAGTTGTTCCAAGAAAAATGTCGTTAGAGGGTTACTCATAGGTGATTTTGCAACGTAAACACCAGAACTATTTTTAAATTTGACACACTTTTATAAGTAACCGATTTAAAAGACGATATGAAATAATTGCATTCGCCAAAAGTTTGAAATGAGAGAATTCAACGTGAGCAGCGTGTAACTGTCGTTTGTTATTATTAAATTTTATTTAATTCTCGTAATCCCTGATCTCCAATGGCACTAACTCGATATAAGTCCTCTCTCCGTGGCTTTAATGTGCCTGACTCTCGTTTTTGCCGAGCAAACTGACGACTTGAGCTGAGTTAATTTGAGCGAGCGGCAAATAAATGTATTTCGCTGGCGGCCAATAAAAACGGTTGGACCGAACCCGAACCCGCTGTCAGTTGGCTTTTAAACGCGTTACGCCAAAGTCGGTCAAGTCGGCGGAGTTAATCGGTCCCGCAGCATCTGTGCTACACAAACCCATATTCCTGCAGAGCAACGGACGATAAAGACTCTGATTCGATTAACAGCAACTGGGACGAGCACGTGCCCGAGTGGCGTATACTTGATATTGCGCATACGCCACCTGTGTCGTGCGGCTACTGTAAAGATTCTGTGAACCAAAGCAATTCGAGATTCAATTGATTGATTGAAAGTGACAACAAACGCAGTGCCAAAACTACATGAAGATGTGCGAATTGATTGTCAGTCATGGTCTCGACCGCGAGGTAAAAACATCATTAGTGCGGGCACGAACACATGATTCATGTGATTTTCCAGCTGTTCAATAGGGTTTTATATTAATTTCGAAAAAATGTATTTGGTTATTAACTTTGCGCTCACCGGTGAGCAAAACTCGGGCTCCACTAAGCTCGTGTTTTGAAGTGCTCGCCGTGTATATATATATAAAAATCTATATGCGATTTAACATCGCCACACGACTGTCATTGACGTTTGACTTTGGATATCTCTCTCTCTTTTTGAATGGCCCGCTCTGATCTGCGATTTGAAACTGACCCTCGTTGAAGTGCGTTAAAAATCGCTTTTTATTTTTTTATTGCGATGCCCGCGTAATTGCGTTCTGTTTTTTAATGGCAGTGGGCCCCGAAAATTGCAGTCACGCCTCAATTACTGGACTCTTTTGTCGTTGTCGCGAAAATTACGCATATATGTATGAAATCGTCGATGTCTGGCCATCGAAATGAGTTTCCGATCTGTTTCACTGACCCAAATAAAGCCTTGCTGAAAGCACATGCTCTCATTCCGATCTGGCGACCTTCCATGCAGCTCAGCTATCTACGACTATCTGACTTTATCGCAGATCTTATATCAGTCTAATTGCGACGAGGTCGTCTATCGTAGTTGAAAATTCTGGGCGGGGGACTCTCCTTCGTAGTTGGTCGAAAGCGATGCCAATAAAGGCGCCACTAAGTAGGAGGGGTTCTTCAACTCGAGTGTCTTATCAATCAGCCCACCAAAGATCGAGATTTAATCAAGCCCTCTACTGCGACTCCGAAATACAAACAAAGATATAGCTGCATAATTTCCAAATTACTTGCGTTGATATAAGCGAGTGGGTTTTGTTTTTGGGCCTTATCAAGACTTGCTAATGCTTGAATCACGGCCATTCAGACGAGAGTTGCCTTGACTTTAAGATGCTTTTGGCCAAGTGAATGATCTCACAATCGAATAGAGTGAAGGTATTGCTGGTTGGCTACCAATGTGCGGGTGTTGTCTGCTCTGCAACATTGGGTGTATGCAAAACTTATGAAAATACCTGTTATAAGGGAGAGTTTATTTCAGGTAATTCATACTCTAACCATTAGCAATTAGCACAACCATTGACGTCACTGGCGAAATGTTCACACGCTGTCAATGGCGACATTGTCACACCCAGCGACAAAACAATAAATAATATATATTAAGTAAAAACAAAGTCCGTGCCAGCACGCAAAAGTTAGTCAGAGCGCCGAAATGAATTTCACATGAAGGTGTAGCTTTTCGGCTATCAATAGATGGTAGCATAAACAGCTTTGGTCGATCAAAAACCGAGATTTCTGAAAGATTAGATTGTATTGGAATTAAATACCCAGTTCTTGGGGGGAACACTGCTTAGTTGCTTCAAAGAACTTAAATCAAACGGTTCTACATCATGGGATTGCACGAAAAACTAGAAAAGTTTCGACATACGCATCTTCACAAAAGGTGTCCCAATCAGCGAAGTTTTGCGGTAAGATTGGCATGATCTAGATCTAGATTGGAAATATGTTGTGTTAGCAGGCTTCGCCTTTGCCTTCGCCGGTTGTCATCCGGCGGTATGACTGCCTTTGAGCAGTTTCATTTCGTTGGCAGTCATTGTTTTATTTCGTTCCGTAGGAGTACAGAGCTCCCCAAAGTAAAAATTCGTATTTTTTCATCCCAATCGGGTTTTATTTGGTGTTTCGTCGTTCGCTTCTTTTCGTTGGTCGGTAGTCCGTGGAAGAAACGTGCTTCGTTTTTGAGCGTTTTGCCAAAATTAAGCGGTATATCAGCGGTATATCAGAATGAGTAGCCACCCGTGCAGCCTGGGAAAGCTGGCCCAGCGTGGCGCCAGCCTTCAGATCTCTCCCCTGGCCACAAGGATGAGGAGTTTCCACTACAGCCGGATCAGGCCGACGGTGGTCCCTATCATGGGCCAGCGGATCAAACCCGACGACAACGGACGGGTGCGCAAGATCGTGGGCGTGAAGAAATCGCTGGTTAACCAGCTGCAGGGCATGGCCCCCAGCCTGGGACCCCCGAATGTGGCGTCGTCGCTCGACAAAACACGGCTGTTCTCCTCCTCGAGCAGCCTGCACAGTCGCTCCCTCCAGCAGCAGCAGCAGCAGGAGGAGGATGACGAGGAGGAGTACTCGGACATGGAGTCCCTGGCGTCCAACACCACGGCTTCGTTGTCGGCCACCCAGAGGGGCTACAATCGGGCAGAGGGATTCGGCAAGGGCATGGCCAGGCAGGCGGCCCGAGACATCAGCCGGTCCATTCAGGAGGAACTGATGGTGGTGGACGCCGACACGCGTCACATGCTCAACTGCGATCCAAGCCGGCAGGTGCTGCGCAACTACCACGAGCAGATGGCCCAAAGGGCGAAGACTCCGGGCGATCCCATGTCGGGCTGGAAGCATCCGCGGCCCCTCAAACATCTCGCCACTGCGGCGGTCAGCAGTGCGGGCGAAGGAAGCAGCAGCACCTCGTCGGTGGCCCAGTCCGAGGTGGCCCAGTCGATGGACCGCCAGGTGAGGCCACGTCGCCGCCAGATGGTCGTAGCCCATATCGGTCGCAACGGTCGCGAGCATTTGGCTCAGCTGCCACCATTGAATGCGCCGCCACCCAAGTTCGAGCTGTACGCCTCGAATGCCAGGGAGAAGTTCTCGGAGCAGCGCACCGAGATGCGTCCGCCGACCAGTTGGCACAGCCCCAAGGAACCGATCGAGCAGAAGCCCGAGGATCTGCTGATGGACGTGGCCTTGGCCCGGGCAGTCCGGCCGGACATCACGCTGACCCGGGGCGTCCAGCGGTCCGGCGAAGAGCACCGGGCCAGCGAATCGGACTCGTGGTATGAGCAGCCAGCTTCAGAGCGGGAGCTCCTCAAGCAGGCCATCCTTGGCGGAGGCAGGAATCGCCTGGATGAGGCGAGCGATAATGCGGCTCAGATAAGCGCCTCGCAGCAGGTGATAAACCAGAAGTATGCCAGTTTTCGCAGAACAACCAGGGGCAACCAGAAGCAGATGATCCGGCAGATTGTGGAGCCGGTGAACCCAACGCCCCAACTCAAGACGAGTGCGCGGTCGATGTCGGAGCCGCGGGACTCGCGAAAGCGGTGGGGCAGCATGAGGCAGAGCTCTGGGCGACAGGCTACGCCCAAGTTTTTCGCGGATGCAGGAGAGCCACGGAACGAGGGAGAAGATGATGAAGACCAGTCCAGTTGGCCATCGCCCCATAACACTCAGCTCCAGATGGCCACACGGAGTGAGACCCGCCTGGAGTCGGAGCAAGAGGGGGGGCGCGGCAGGAACGTGATGGGCGAAAAGCGAGGCGCCCAGAAGACAATGGATGACGAAGCTCTAGTGGAGCACAACGATATCGGGATGCCGCAGGCATACAAGCGGGAGTCGGCCGTGCAGCGCCTTGGAAGCAGCAGGCACTCCAAGCACAGCAGCCGCGCTTTCAACAGCTACTAAGCCCCCGATTTGCAGTCTGCATAGTGGGTACCACACCCACCACCCTGATAGTCCAATCCGAACCCAGTCCGTGTCCAGTCTCCCAGCCCGACCATAGCACATAGCCAGACTGATATTTTTTGGCATGGAGTTGTCTAAATCCTTAGAAGTCGTACCAAAATTTAAGCCTGACAATCCAATTGGCCAAAGTGTAGTTATTTCAACGTAGAAACAAAGTGTCTCAAATAAAATCGATTACAGTTGTGTAAATTAAAATATCTGGATTGAAATTTATAGGTTCTTGTTGTAAATTCAGCATTAGCTGCGAAATAACAGTCATAATGACTAAATCTATTCTTGCTTTCTATTAAGAGTTTACTTGGGGAATACACAAAGTGTCTCAAATAAAATCGATTACAGTTGTGTAAATTAAAACATCAGGGTTGAGATATATCTTGTTGTAAATTCAGCACTAACTGCGAAATAGTTTTGGAACAGTCATAAAGACTAAATCTATTCTTGCTTTCTATTAAGTGTTTACTTGGGGAAATCAACCTTATAAGCCATATTAAAGCAATTGCTATTCTGTCTATTTTTCAACTATAAGTAATATTTGGGTTCACTTAAGCATCTTTCAGCATTGTAATATAAACATCTTTGCGCCGTCTAAGTGTGTTTTTCTTTCAATTTAGTTTACACTCTGCTAGTGCCGATGCCAAGCGAGCTCTTTTCATTTGTAGTTTGATTTAAAGCCCAGACAAGAGATACCCACGAACACGAACTCAGCAGACACACTAAACTAGCACTGCACACATGATAAAATAAAATATTTTTAAACGAAACCCCAACAACCAAAGCAAAGCACTGATATTTGAAAGCTAATACCCAATATCCAACAAACCCCTCTCCCAATTTAAACAAGCAGAAACGTATTTAAATACCTTTTGGATATGTAATTTTAGTTTCATTTGGAATAGATATTCATATTTTTTATCTTATCAATTAGATTATGTTTATTAGTTTATACACCTAAGTCTTGCGTATTGTGCTAATATCTGCCTGTTTTCATCAATCGTTCTTCAGGTGCTGTCAATGAGCACAGATGAGTATCGCAAGACCTCACTCTTTGCCACTGGGTCCTTCGACCTGGACTTCCCCATACCAGACCTGATTGGCAAGACAGAAATCCTTACAGAGGAGCATCGGTAAGTTTAAATTTAAATTATATTCTATTTGCCTTTCATATTGAGCTGCTATTTAAGGGAATTCTTGACTAATTCGTGGCATTTTAACTTACAGCGAGAAGCTCTGCTCACATCTGCCAGCCAGAGCCGAGGGATACTCTTGGTCCCTGATCTTCAGCACTTCACAACATGGTTTCGCACTTAACTCCCTATATCGCAAAATGGCCCGTCTGGAGAGCCCGGTTCTGATTGTCATCGAGGATACAGAGCACAATGTAAGTTCAGATGGTTTTGTTTGTTAAATGCAAATTATTATTTCTGTCAAGTAAAACATTTCATTACTATCAGATATTTATTATTATGAGCAAATAAACCAATAAAAAGTTCACAAGCCCTGATTAAACGATCCAAATTTTAATGTTCCCATAAGATTAAAGCTTTTTATGTGCTGTTGTTCTGTATATAAAGTTAAAAGTTTGGGCATCATTTAATTATCACTTTTACAGGGCTAGTTAGCTCATTTTAAAAGGACTGAGATGTAATTTGTTCACCACTTAATTTCCTAATCAAAAATAAGATAATACTTGTTTAATACTTCAATTACCAAGCTAAGTGCATTGGAGATGGCAGTAATTAAAATATTTAATAAATAATAAAAAGAAAAAGTTCTAATTATCTCATTTTAAAAGAAATTCCGACTACAAAGTATAAATATATAAACAAAATTTGTTACTTACCTTTAGGTTTTTGGTGCCTTGACCTCCTGCGCGCTGCATGTGTCGGATCACTTTTACGGCACCGGTGAGTCCCTGCTCTACAAGTTTAACCCCAGCTTCAAGGTGTTCCATTGGACTGGCGAGAATATGTACTTCATCAAGGGCAACATGGAGAGCCTTTCGATTGGCGCTGGAGAGTGAGTTTAAGGGCCGCCAAAAAACACCATGCAATTGCTAAATTGAGTATTGTTTATTTTTTTTTAGTGGTCGCTTTGGCCTGTGGCTGGATGGCGACCTAAACCAGGGACGATCGCAGCAGTGCAGCACATACGGCAACGAGCCTCTGGCGCCACAAGAAGACTTTGTTATCAAAACACTCGAATGCTGGGCATTTGTTTAAGTGAATTTCTGTTGTCAACAACAAACATATTTAAGGATGGCGGCGAGGACCTCCTGCCTGCGCCTGCCCATCAATTTAATTAACTATATGTACTTGTACTAAAAACCAACAGCCTGAGAAAGATGTCAAAAGCTGGTGTGCGTCTATGGATCCACCGGAACGGTTCACTCATCCCAAAACCCAAACATTAACCACAAGGGAGGAGGATATATAGAACACTGATCTGATCTGAAGGAAATTGCTTGTGAATAATTCTGTTCTCGGCAGCAAAATGCGACTTAGCTATGCGTTGGAACGTATTAATTATTTAGTTTTTATATTATATATTATTAAACAAAAGCAACTAAATTATGTGTTAGACTTAAACAAAATCAGAACATGAGAAAAAACCCAAAAGGCAGACAAACGACGCGGAAGTTAAAGCGAAAACAATTGAAGATTGAACATTAGAGGTCATCACACATCTCCATGAACTATAGCACACGCATACACCCACACACCCACATACGCCCACACAAGCACACATTTAAGTTAAGTTCTTAATATCGAAAACTATAATAACCAAATTGTCATTTATCGTGCCTAGTTCTCTTTATTGATTTCCGTTTGAATTTAATTTTGTTGATGAGTTACTTTGTCGAGAGCATTGTGAAAAAGCGAGCTGAGAAGTTGAGAAAAAATAAAAAGAATGTCGATATAATTTTTAGTGCAAAAGTGCAAGTGCTGATTGCAAGTAAAACTGAAGGCGAAGATAACTTTAACGATTTGACTTTTATATACATGTAAAGAAGGAGCCGAGCAGAGCTGAGAGTGAACGTTTTATTTTTTAGTTTTACACGATATACATATATTTAATTATGATTATTTTAATGCTAATGATGTTGACTTTTATGCAATTATACTAAAACAAAAACAGAAACAACACCAGAATGAAATACACAATATTATACAACCAAACTGGCCAAACAGAGGTTTTACTTCATCTTCATCTCCAGACCCAAAAAATTGGGTCAATGGCCTCCATTCGTTCGGTCGTTTGAAGACAGATATGTATGTCGCCCCATCCCGTAGGTGTGCTATACTTTTTTAAAGGTCCCAGGGCAGGCCAGATTTGTTTTGTAGTTGTAAGTTTTCTCCGCAGATATCGGTCTCAACCCGTACATGTACACAGATAGCCTGGCGGCAGCAGAATCTGACGGAGCTGCTGCTGGTGGAAAAGGTTTTGAAAGAAATCAAACCAACAAACTTAAATGGCTTTATATCCCTTTTGAGATACAATTTCAGTATGATTAAAAAGTAAATAATTATATACATATATATGTATACACATACGCTAATATATAAATGTACAATGGTAGAAGCGAATCTAGGTAAATTTAAGTGTAATTTTTGTAGTGTATTTGCGCCCCAAGACCGAATCCAAACCTACCTTAACCCCCCGGTTCCCAATCGATTGTATTGTATTGTAAAACCTCCCAAAAATTGAACGGCGAAGCAACAGAGTCAGAAACATATTCTAAATATTCAAGAACACACAAGAGGCTCGAAGATAAAATTGAGAGAACAAACGAAACAAAATTGCTGATATTTTACACTGAACAGAGTTCGAAACTAACTAAAAAAGGAAAGTATATAAAGATATTTCATTTCATCGGACTTAAAGTTTTAACTGGTTTAATAAGCTGAAAAACTCACCAAGCAACGCACACAAAACAAGAAAAGAAACTGTAAAATTGGAAAAATGAAAAAATTAAATAATGATAAACTGTAAAGATAATCCCAAACCGAAATCCAGAAATCCTCTTAGCATGCAACACTTTAGAGAAATTTAGCTGAAAATTTGCACGCACCCCAGACCTAACAATGGAAATATACATATTAAGTAAATGGTGAACTATGGAGACTCACGCCAGTGAAGATGTTTTTAGATGTTATTTAAACGATCTTGACAGACAATTTTTGTGTAGTTGTGCATGCCTAACCAACCACACCAACCATATGTACATGTACGCTCTATATGGATAGTATGTGTATATAGTATATACTCGCCCCCCAACGCGTTGAATCCAAATGAGAATCAAGTTGAAATTCCTGTTGTATTGTGAAATCGGAAGACTTTCTTTTTAGGACTTTAGATAATCCAAACCGAACATTGGAAAGGCTTGTTTACTGAGCAAATGGTTTTGACAACCGGGAGATCGATTAGCTTAAAAATCATTTCAACTATACGCAAAATTCATTTTAAAAACTTGAGACCAAAATGCGTTTACTAAAAGATATACTACATATTACCAGGCGATAACTCCCCGTTGAGCATAATATCATTAAATATTAATATGCATAACGAAAATTAGTTTGTTGACAACCAGTCAATTATGTCTCAATACACAACCAAACTCACACACACACACACAAGCTGAAAGCTAAATGCATTATATGAAATCAAGAAATATTAATTTTAGTAGCCTATGAAACTATGTTGTTGAATTCGTAGATATTTTGTTGTGCGTTAAAGAGAAATGAATTTAATATTAAAAGTAAAAAGAGAGCGAGGCAAAATTTTATATTGTAACTTCTGTCAATTAAATTGTAGACTGGTGCATATACCAAACTAAATAATATATGCCGAACACATTGTTGTGGCAGCATGCAATTGTTTAAGCCATCAATGCATGGATTATATTGATGAAACATTGATGCCGATAGTTCTGCTCCCTTGCGTTTTTGTTGTGAGTTCAACAAGTGCTTAGTATTTGTGAAATATGTATTCAGGCATACAATAAGTACCCAGTTGTATATCAAAGCTAACGGCCAGTTAATTAGTGTGGAACTATCCCCAACCTAGAGCGAGTACTTTTCCAACTCAGTGTCTGCATTTCCAGTGCTTTGCCCATTACCAAAGTTGAGTAGTTTGCAAACGTTTCTAGTTGTTGTGCACCAAAAATTAAACAAATGTAATTCGCACAATTCGAGGCAAGATATTCAGGATATGTAGGCATAACGCCAGCTAGATGCGCCAGATATACAATACACACAGTCTTAGAGATATAGATTTGCGATTGTTTAGGGGCTGAATGAGGACTCCCTTGGAACTCCCGCTTGTTTCAGTTACAACTTTTAGAATGCTGATTGTAGAACCGAACGATTGTATAAACTCCACTTAGAAGAGGGCACTACTCTACCCAAGCCACAACTAAAGGTCCATGCCATACAGCTATGTTATATAAAAAGGGATCGGACGAGCAGGGGAGGAGGGTTTTACAAAGGTTATAGACAGATCGGGAGTCAGATAGAAAAGTGGGTGCAGCAGGTGGTTTATTTTTCTACCAACAGATTGCAAGCAATGAAAATACATAGTTGATTACTCGACGAACAGAGGCCATTATCTAAGTCGTGTGTATATACGAGATATATCTACCTACATACATATATATATATATATTTTTGGAAAGCAAATCAAGTGTATCTTGATGGTATTCAGGTCGCGGCCAAGTACTAAGCATATTTGCAAACGATATTGATCAGTGTAAATGTTAAAAACTAAAAATCGAAAGTTCGAACGTTTGCCTTGGTTGTTTGGTTTAAATGGAATGCATTCGTTGTTCTTCAGTTATTCAAAACATTATTAGATATCGGATTAATTCATGTGTGCAACTTGTATCGTACCTATAATATTGCATTCCAACTAAAGCAAACTCAGTAAAACAGAAAAGAAAAAACACATGTGCAGAGCAGCAAGAGAATATATATAAATATATACTATATGTAAATGTAAAGTCATTAAAAAAAATGAAAAACTTTTCTGAAAAATAAAATGTATATTCAAATATCAACAAAGTCTTTATATTGGGTTTAGAAACTGTGAATGTGAGATTTTTAGCGTGTGTTCGGTATGGTAGATTTTCAAATTTACATTACTTTTTAGTAACCAACTTACTCACATATTAAATTGACTGCCCAAAAGAATGCAGTGAATTTTTCCAGAAGTAACACAAAGTATACTATCTTCTCATCTAAATTGGTATAGCTTTCCCCCAACTCAAAAACATTTAAAATATCTTCAATGAAATTTCAAAGTTCATGACATCCGACTTATAATCTCCACACATTAATAAAATATTACACACGCACATCATTTGCTCAGGCTTTTTAATATAAAAATATACATATAATATGTAGATATGCCATAAATACACATATTTCATGATTTAGAGATAACAAGAGAACAAATTTCTGACAGACATATATTTCCGCTTGTTATTAGATGTAAACGATATCAGAAAGATTTCTAACTAGATGCATGAGAGTCGACAGATTGAGTGGGATGCCAGCGAACGCATTTGCACACGATTTGCTGGCTTGTTACATAATTTTGAGATAGGATATAATGAGCGTCGCGAACGTTGCTGATGCTTTTGAAGCTTGTTAACTTCTTTTTAGGTATAATACTTTGGCAGCCAAAAACTAAGAATGAGCTAGGCAAAAGGTCCTGACAAAGATGCAACAAACTAATAATTAATAAACAATCAACTCGGACGCTGACAAGGCAGTAAGCTAATGGTTAATGCGAAAATAACTAAGGATACGACTTAGAGACTAAACTAGGAGGCTTAACGACTAAAGGAGCTTTGATTCACTTTTGCATTTCGGGCTTGGGCTGCCGCCCGTCCGGAGCTATAAATAATTTTTAACTAGCTTTTTACATGTGTGTTTGGTTGGAAATAATTTACACTTTTTGGTTGCCCCTTAGCTGCGCTGCCAGCTTGGGTTACGTGCATATTTCGCTGCCAGCGGCGCAGGCATTGCTCGACACATTGGCATTCAACGCTCCCGTTCCCGTGGACATGCTGGCCGGCAGACTAGATGTGGATGAAGGTGTTGCTGCTGCTGCTGCTGCTGCTGCTGGTGTGGCGGGCGGGGTTGTGGTTGAGTCTGGTTCAGCCAGCTGGGCTTGGGCCTGAGCTGCCACATTGTTCGTCTTGCTGTTCTCCAGCTTGGCCCTATTGAGAGCCTCCTCGCGCTCCTTGGCATCGAAGTACCAGACGGTGATGGCATAGCGGGTGCGATGAGCAGGCTGCACTTCATGCGGATTGCGAATGTCCGACCAAAAGAAAATCAAACGGTCAAACTTCGGTTCAATGTCCGCGACTGTTGTTCCGGGCGTTGGACGAATTCTGTTAATAGTTTTGACATAAGTTGATTTTCAAAATACTGGTAAGTTTTCTAAACTTACCGCAATATGCCGCCACTTTCCCGCGCATCCCAATTGATATTCAGGTAGTAAATGGCCGTTATCACGCGGCCATCCTTTTTGGGATTATCCACATGCATGACATAATGCGTTCCAGATCCTGGATAGCATGCGACCATCGCCCTCGTGCGCTCCCTGATGTGATAGTTGCCCAAAATACCATTGCCCTTCATCGTGTTGACGCGATACACCACAGAGTCAATCTGAAAATAATTAATTATAGAGGTTAACATAAAGCATTGACTGTATTATTAGAATTCTGTTAAATTTCTACAAAATGCATTATTATAGTTTGAGAGTAATTCCAAACGATTCTAAACACTTAATTAAAATAAATTTTAAAGTAGCATAAAAGATAGTTATGTTAGACATGTAATTTATGTGTATTAACTTGAATGGCAAGAACATATACTGTTTCATAGTCGGAAAGTTTACAATTACTTTGAGGTATATATGTAAACATTTGTTCAAGCAGCTTTGTTGCATTTTAATTTTAAAATAGTCCAATATAATTGATCTCCTTTATAGAAATCCTGAACTCAAGCCATTCGTATTAAGAAAAGGTTTAAAATAAATAAAAAATATCTCACCTGATTTGTCAGATACCAGACATTGCTGCAGCCGGGCTCATTGCCACCAACCCACTTGATCTTATCGCCCCGGATCTTGTCGCCGCTAACCGCCGAAGAGGGAGCATCGGGCATCTGGTTGGTGACCACCTGGCCATCTTGAAAAGCGCCTGCGTTGTACATGCTCCGAACCTCGTTGAGGATCTTCAGCCCCGTCTCCACGCCCAGGAAATCATCCACAACGGACAAACCGTACTGGTTCATGTCGCTGATGATGTTCCGGCATAGATCCTCATAGCGGCGCTCACTGCGGAAAAAAAACATAAGAAAAACAAAGAACTTTAATCAGACAGAAAAAATTCAATTGCGTTTCATTAATTCGACAAACCCGAGAGGAACAAATAAAAAAAGACCTTTCAAGGCCATTCGTCTGTAATCGTTTTAGAGATGCCTATGTGGGTGAGGTCACCTTGGGGAAACCCCTGCATTCTGTAGATCTAGACAGCGCTTTTCCTACCTATTTTTAGCACAAATGTTTAATTAGACTTAAGCTTTTTTTTAACGGCCGTTAGAGCAACCAGTGCTGCGATGCATACAATTTTACGACTTTTTTATGATGCGCCTATAAAACCAATATTTTCATACAAGTCGTTGGTTCCCAGTCACGTAGGCCACCCAGAACTGAACGGATCGGAACAGAACTGGCCCACTCACACCGATTGGCCCAGACGATCGCAAAATTCCGGATAAGCAAAGCAAAGCTATACATTGCAAAACATAAATAAATAAAACAGAATTGAAACATCTTCGCGCAAGTTCACAGAAGCTATAAAAAAAGTCATAAAGTGTAAATTATTGTCGCAAAAATAAAAAAAATTTCCAAAACGTGCTGCACGTTTGATCAGTATAAATACCGGAGTGGCAAAGAGAAGAACTACAAGGAAAGAGATACTATAGAGCAAGTGGTTTTTTTGCCAACATGCGCTAATATAAATATACAAATTCACAGGTTTCCGAAAGATTAAGATATAAGACATTAATACCACAAACAAAAATGGATAACCGGTTTTTTTTTTGGCATTCATAATCAATGATAACTGATATTCAACAGTTTGTAACCAGTGCAAAAATCGGTGAAGAGAAAATAGTTAAACTACACAGAGAAAATTAATCAAGTATATTGCACTCAATCTGAGAATATTCGTACTCATGAGTCTGCATAATGGGATATATGTTATTATAGTATTAGGGAACAAACAAACAACAAACGCCTTTACCTCACTGACCATATCAAACTAGTGATGAATTTCATTAAAGGAAAGTATTTTTAGTTTTAATATAATCAATGGAAATTTTAGACCTTATTTATAAAAATCCAAAAAAATAAACATTGTACCTACAATTTCTAATGGTATTTCAACTGTTACTGTTTAACTTGATTAATTCTGATATTTAAGACTTTATGGTCGAAAGGATCACAAAATGTTGCTTATTCAGTTTGGTTTTCCTCAAATTATTCCCCCATTCATAGAGCTTCTACTATTGCCACCTCTAACTTCCAAATGGTTTATCCTTAAAAGGTTCCTAAAGCACCTCCCAAGATCGTAAAAGCCATTTACCGCTTGTCCAGTAGTTCCCGGAAAAATTGCTCAGCATTTGCAGGATGTGCCGAGTGCTTGAAAAAGTTTTTATAGTCCGTGGTCGTCGTGGATGTTATCATTTTGCCTTGATCAGTCAGCTTGTGTTTGACCAAAATCACTCGAACTATGTACTTTTCTGGCACTTGTAAGGATTTGTTATCCACAGAATTTGTTGGTTCTTGGGTTCTCAACTTTTTGGTTTTTGAATGTTATGTGTTTTTTATATTCAGTTTAATTATTAGGTTTTCTTTTAGGAGGAGAAAGGTTCTACAGTGACTTCTCCAAAAATTCACGCACAACTAAAGAAACTTTGAAATTGCCTGCGATTTTTATGCCAATGCGAACCCCGATCGTTAAAGGGAGGCAGCGCGAGCGAGTTAGAGAGAGACACCGGCCGTTATATTATATTATATCGTATATCGGTGTAGGGCGCCGCGTTGTTGCAATCGTGTTGGTGGGCAGGTATGAATAATTTCAGATTGCATTTGTTCCGACCAACTTCAAATATTGCCTATATATAGTTGCTTTGTTTTGTTTCACTAGCTGGTTTTTGTTTTGATTTTATTTTTTTGTTTTTGCACCGTTAGTCACGTTTGTTTATCGTTGGGCTTCGGTTAGCTTATTTCAGTACAAATGTGGAGCAGCTGACACGAACCGCACTCGTTGCCGTTTGTTTGCGAATGCGGGAGCAGCGCGAGTCGCAATAGCCCAATACCGTTGCCTCACGCACTGGGAGAGAGGAAGAGAGCAAGGGAGAGCAGGTGCAGACATTTTAGCTAACTTACCGCTAAATCAGATTTTATTAAAAATTTGTTTAACTTTGTATAATAAGTCGTTTTTTATTTGACGTACAATTTTTTAACTTATTCCAAATACATTTTAATATAATGTTTTCCAGACCATAATTTTTGTAATTCTAATTTCAAATAAGTTATTTAAGGTAAATCGACTTTATATTAATACAGTGATAGCCAGTCCGGATCTTCAGCTTTGAAATTGTTAACTTACTCAGCCCAACCTCAAATAATAGTAATCTTTGAGAGGCTTAGCTATGATATTTGCGTGTTGTTGTTGGACTTTTAAAAACAATACAAAAAGACAGGAGCTAGTTAGTTCTAGCTATTTTCTCTCTTTCGAAACCTGACATCACTATTTCAGAGCGTCCGTGATGTTACAGAGCGAATGAGAATTGGGGGCCTGGGAAGCGACTAAAGAAGGAGTAGCCGCCTAAGGCGATAAGCAGCACATTGGTAGGTGTGGGTAAATAGTGGAAAATATGGCAAAATTAAAGGTAAAAGGCAGCTGCATATAACGAGAAACCGTCTTGGTAATGCAAATAAAGGGGATCATTCGCAAAGTCAAAGAAAAATGGAAGTGACATACTCGCTCCGCTCGCCCTTCAAACGAATCCAAAAACACTCTGCAAACACCGAACAAACGCAAACGGAAAAGCCTGGAAAAGCAAAAGCAAACGCAAAAGCAAAAAAGACAAGCGCAACAATCGTCACGTAGCCCAGCACACACACTTAGCCACACGCACATGCGAGCGTACCCACACAGACGTCCAAGGGGCACACGCACGGGCGTTAATGCGATAGCCAAGAGAGTTTAAAAAAGACGTATGCCAACTAAGGGAGTGCAAGGGGGGCAGAGATAGATATTAAAATTTGTTTGATACAAAATGACTGCTAAAAAAATTGGTTTGAAAATAAACCCGAAGATGAGCTACAGAACGTCGGAAACTCGCGGAAGCAGTGCGAGTGTACGTACCACAGAATTGGGTCAACGGCCCAGTTCAAAGTCGGAGCCAGTATTCACTGAGAGAAAAAACTGTGGAACTTTCGCATCATCAATCATTAAAATTAAACCAAATTATAATTAAAACAACCGAGGACTAGTCTTAATATGAATAACACACGACAACAAGGTTACTAAGGCTTTTTAGGAAATTTCTAATATGTTTTAAAATGGTTTTTACATTTATTAGAGGAACTTTCCACACTTTTGTCGTATGGAATAGATTCCAAAAAAATTGATCTTTGTTTATAAATTTGGGGTAATATTTCACCTCTCGAGGAACTAATACTACCAACCCTGATTGCAGTTTTTTTGAATACACGGTGACATTTATTCTTTTGTTATTATGCTACTCAACTAGTCATGATTTCTTTAAGTGCAATCATGTTTTTTGTGTATAAAGTAATGATCGATTTGAGCCCTTCGTCTGTGATGTATTACGTGCTACGACGGCGACTGCGGCACGTGTACCACACGCAGCTCTCAGCCCTCCAAGTGGGTGGAAAAAGGGCAGGGCATGGGGGGGAGGCGCGGCATGGCAGGCGCACACGCACTGAGCGACAGACGACCTTGATGACGTGCGTCTGCCTACGTAGTTCGCTTTGGATTGTTTTATGTTCGAGATTTATCATCAGATATTGCTTCAGTGAGTATTTTGAAATAGAATAGAATGAATAAGATATGCAAACAAAAAATATCAAGGGTAGAATAATTAAAAGTGATAACGAAGAAAATAAGAAACTATTATGATATATACCGATTTTCAGACAAGACCTGATTTAGTACTTAAATACTTTCTTCAAATAAAGTGAAATTCCACGAAGTTTTCAATTTTTTATGATTTTTTTTATTTTTAATATACAGTAATCATTATGAGTTTTGTAACAAAAATTACTTGGTATAAATTTCACTGAAGAAGAAGAAAATCTCACCATAATGTAACGTATTGCTTTGTGTACATATCTTGCATACAATTGTGTTTAACAAATTTTCTTTCTAGTACACAAAAAATAATCAAAATATGTGAAAATACTTATATTCAGCTTTATTAATAAATCAACAGGGATAATGGATGTTAACCTTTCTCATCAAATATGTGACATTGACAGCCGGCGGCGGATGAATGTGGTTTTTGGACGATCGTTGTTTATCGAGTTTTGCGCAACCGTATTGTTTATTTTTTCCTGAAAGTAGCTTGACAGGAACAGCAGCAAATTTAGCACATTTATAAACAATGTCGGAATTTTGCAAACCCCTGAAAATGAGATCACGTCGGGCTGACTGCTAATTGTTTGATAAAGAACAACACATCTCGCGGCAGATTGAAATCTAAAAGCTTAGGCAAATGCTTAGTTTTGATTACACGATTTGAGCGGTACGCTTGCTTATTCCTGGCACGTAGGCAAAACGCTTCGGACCACCCTGGAGAACGGACCACCCAATCCGGGTGATAAGAAGTTCAAAAAGAAGAAACATTCATTACATTGGTCGGCAAAATTGCAATACATTCTTAATCAATTAGCATTGACCACACAAATCAAAATAAGAAAAGTCAATATAATCGAGGTTCTCGGTACTTATTTCAAACAAACAAAATTAAGTTTCTTAAATTTATAAGATTAAATATATGTTTTTAAAAGGATATAATAACATTTATTTCTAATTAAAACAAGAAAGGAAGCAGACTTTGGCAAACCAAAGTTAATTTACGCTTGCAGCTTTTGCAAAATTAAATATTCTTGAACACATTTAAATTTTTATTTATTTGTGTATGCCTAAAAACATTGAAACTATAACGATTTTCAGCTCATTTATTCGATCGTTCCTATGCCAGCTTCATGATAATATTATTATTATATTCCGATTGTTCCCATGGGAGCTATATGATATAGTCGTCCGATTTAAGTCAAATTTAAACCATAATTCAGAAATAATAAACAAGAACTAAACAAAATATTACAAAAACAGCAAAGTTATACTTTTTGTTTCCTTTTTTGCCGTTTTTTCCTATTAGAGCTATATGCTATACTCGTCCGATCCGGCTCGATCCGATTTATATACTACCTGCAAAAGGAATACAACTTTTGGGAAAATTTCATGCAGATAGCTTTAAAACTGAGAGACCAATTTGCGTAGAAATAGACGGGCGGACAGACGGACATGGCTAGATCGACTCTCTGATCAAGAACATATATATATTTTAGGGTCGGAAATGTCTCCTTTACTGCGATGCAAAATTCTGACTGAAATTATAATACCCTCTGCAAGGGTATAAAAACTATACTTGATACTTATTCTACAGTTTAAAGTTTTTGGGGGGCTTAATTTGTTTTGAGTTATAGAAGTTCGAAAGTAGAAAGCAAAAACAAAACCATTTATTTTATTGGTCAGTGTTATTCATGACTCAGAGCGATTCGCTAGAGTTTTTTCGCCCAACGATTGCAAAAGAATTTATATATATTGTCCGGTGTGTGCGATAAATGTTTGTTGTATCTGTTAATAATGCCGGGGTGTAAAGCAAAAATAAATAAATAAGCGAGCAACAAAGATTCGAACGCAATGAACTGCGCAACAGAATAATTACAAAGTCAGCGGAAAATGCGACTGCGGGTGCGAATGCAGGTGCTATCAGATCGGCTATGGTCGCCATAAGCAAACGACTGCCGGGCACGTAATGCCAAAGGTAAATACCCGGCTTGAGAGGTGGCATCTTGCGACGAAGTGCGAATCGAATAGCAGGGCACTAAAACGTTTGCGCATTTGTTTCTGGTAATTACAAACTGTCATTTAGAAAAGATACTTCATACAAATGGAAACAAGTTCCCATAACGAAAAAAATTTTCGCAATTTGAAAACAAATAAAAATTAAAAAAAAGTTTAACTGTTTTCTAACTATTTACCTTACCAAAACATTAACTAGTTTAAATTCCTAAGCCGCAACAAAAGAATACCATACAAATTTAAAAGTACTAAATTTTAAACTCTTTTAAAATGTAATTAAACTTCACGAGTTTAGAGTATAATTGTTTAATTTACAAAATGAAATAGTAACAAATATTTTTTATAAACATATATATGGACATTGCAAAACATTTAATGCATTTTTTTACTAAAATTTGTAAAAGATTATCTTTTCTTCAAATACCTAAGGATTAACTGGTAATCAAGCTCAACAAAATACTTAAAAGGTAAGTTTTCCTTTATTATTTATCAAAGATGTACAATATACCGGCATCAGCTTAAGATGTAGTGGTCATAACTTTGTTTGTCCTGAGATCAAATTTTAATTGAAATTCTTTTTTTGCCTGTATCGAATGATGAAAAACAAAAATGCTAATAAAAACAATATTCCTTTTAAGTTTAAAGACCAGAAATAGTAATCATTCATAAAATTCGAAATCAACAGTTATTCAAGAGAAGAAACTGTCAGCAATAAACTTTAACACTCATTATAGATAATACATAGATCGTCACGTTGTCATATTTAGTTTTCTTTCGTGCTGTTTCTCAGGAGTGGGCACGTAAGCGCTTATCGGTAACTGGCTTGATATGCAGTGAGGATCGGTGAGGGGCGGGACGGGGCCTACGACGATGAGAATGCACATGTTGGGGTCTAATCTAGGGCTATAGACTTCGGTTTGCGGACGCGATGTTTCCACAAATTGCAAACGCAATTTCAAGTGCACGAACGTCTTACTAATCGAAATGCTTCATCCAGTAACATTTAATAACTAGTTATCAGGTGAAATCATGACTGATCAAAGACAAGATAAGCAGCAACAAAAAAGAAAAAGAAACGTAGAACGGTTATAGAATACCAATGCTTTCTGAAAAGGATTTAATATCAGTTTTAATTCTGTCAAACGAAAAGCCTTTTAACGAGCTAATAAAAAGGTTTTGACATTTTTTTTATCACAAATGACAAGCAAAGGCTTAAACTATAAATCAATTATTTTATTTAAACGTCACGCAGCAATGGAATTTTGTTGCAAAGAAGCTTTCAAGTGTAGGGGTTAATTCCTTGAAAAAACGATGTTTTTATTAAACAGTTAAAATTAAAAATCTATTCTGTATTATTGTATCAAATTTCAAGATATTCTGTTAAACTTTTAATCAAGAAATATTAAAAAAAGGGGGAATACAGCAAATACTCTGCAGTGTATCAGAAATTATAATTGTTTTTGCAAAAAATAAATCGGCATTAACAAATTTTAAAAAGTCTACGGAGTAGTAGTTCAGGACCCCGGAATCAGGAGTTAGGATAGGTATTAAATTTAAAAGCGTAAAAAAAAAAAAACCTGAAGAAGCAATCATTTGTTTGCCCCCTTTCAGTACAGCCAAGTTAACAAGTTAGAACAGTCTCAAAAGTCAAAAGTATACAATTTTTGATAAAAACTTATTAAACGCCTTGTGAATGGTTGAAAATTTAATAAACTAGTTGTACTGCATTTTATTAATGATTTACAACTTATTAAACGCCTTGTAAATGGTTGAAAATAAAAAAATAAACTGACGAATATCATTATAATGCACACCCATATAACATAACTCAAACTCCTTTAACTTTTAAGATGGCATTTATGGACTTATCTCTGAGGGTAGATCAAAAACTCCAAGACTTACCTTCCTGATCCCAAGAAACTGGCATCCGCCAGTCCAATTTGATAGCTGGAGCTCTTTTCACCGTGATGATGATGATGGTGGTGGTGGTGGTGGTGTTGCTGCTGCTGCTGCTGCTTTTGTCCCACTTCCTGTGGTGCCGCCTGCGCTTGGCTGTCCGGCTGCCCCAGGAGATTCAGCAGGTTGTCCACCTCGGCGGGCCAGCTCTGCGCCTGGTGGGCAGGCGTCATCATCTGGGCGGTGGAGCAGTTGGCGCCAGCACCACTGCCCTCCAGATTGGCGGATGCCACCGCCTGTTGTAGTTGCTGGATTTGCTGGCGCTGTTGCTGTTTGTTGTTGTTGCCGCTGCCGATGCTGCTGCTGTTGACCTTTTGGCGGGTCAGGAGGCGGCACTCAGTGCGGTGGGCGGGCCAATCCATATGCTGGTGGGCGGGGGAGCAGTAGTAGACGGCCTTGCACTTGGCGCAGCGCAGTAGCTGCTGCTGAGTGCCGCAGATGGAGCAGCGAGGTGGGTCCATGGCAGACCTGGATCCGGAATAGGAATCGGAACCGCTGGCTGAATCCCTGACCTTTCCGCGACCCCTGCTCATTGCATTTTGTCGGAGAGCTAAAGGCGACGACCGATTCTAACCTTGACTGCTCTCTCTGCTCTTTTCTTTCTTGCTCCACCTTCGCCCCCTCACACACACACACACAGACACAGATTATGGCTATCAATTATCAATGCGAATTACGGCACTCGTTTTAGCCAACATTTCACTGTTAGTTCGCTTGCGCTTATTTTAATCACGTAGGCCAAACGAACTTGCCAAATAAACAAAAAAAAAACACAGCGCACACAAACACACGCAGATGCTATATGTGCATTGTTGTTGCTTTGGTTGCCAACTATTTTTGTCTGGAAGGGTATTTGGGTTCGGGTTTTTCACTCTGCACACTATCTGGTTGGTCGACTTAGATTTGGTTATCGTTTTGTCATTTGAAATACACGAAAATTGGCGAAAAAAGCGAAAATTTCTTGCACCCAAACTTTTTTATTTCCTAGGGGTGGAAGTCAACCGATACTTTGCGTGTACGATAGTAATGCCGGCGTTGCACAACACTAAAAGCAGGTCAGCAAGCGATATCGATAACAAAGCGATACACATAAAGGTGTCACTTCTTAATTAAACTTAAAAAGTAGCTATTTTTAACGGATATATTTTAAAAGCAAGCAGACCTGGCAGTTAAGTAGATAAAATATTTCTTCAGCATGGTTTTTTTTAAATATCTCTGATGTTATTTTCAGTCCTTTTATATTTGTTTGTTAAGTCTAAACAATTTTGTAAGCAGCTGTGAGAAGTCCGCATTAGTTAAAATCTAGCTTTTTATTAGCTATCTTCATTGGTCATTACCAACCGATAGCCGGTCACTCGCAGTGCCATCTCTACTATCAGACCATAAACAGATGCTGAGCCCTCGGGAAAACATTAAGTCCGCGTGATTACAATATTCCACTGATAAACGCGATGACGTCGAGTGAACGTGTGGCCAAAGTGGTTCTAGTGGACATCGAGGGTACTACCACATCGATCAGTTTCGTGCACGATGTTCTCTTTCCGTACGCCAAGAACAATGTGGAGAAGTTTCTAAGGGATTCCTGGGGAGGAGATGATACCAATCAAATTGTCCAGGATCTGCAACAAGTGCCCCAGTTTTCGGATTACAAAAACACATTATGTGATCTTCCTGAAAACGTGGATGTAAAACTCATAACCGGCTTTGTGCGCTACCTAATCGACAAAGATCTGAAGGTCACTCCGATGAAAACGCTCCAGGGATTAATTTGGGCTCAGGGTTATAGTGATGGACAGCTGAAGGGCCAGTAAGTTTCCCCTAGAGCTATAGTACAATACTTTGCCCCTATCTAATACATAACCTAAATTTCTTATCTACGAAATTTTGAATTTTAGTTGTTTTTATTGTCAAAAACGCTAAAAGTTCAAATAAGCAAAAAACTATTTTGTTTTTAGTAAATTAGAAACAACTGTTTATCAATTCGTGCTGAGGGTATTATAATTAAAGTCAGAAGAGACAATCCTTTATAAATATATTCTCGATCAGCAAAACCAGGAAAGTCTTTCCATGTCCAACTGTCCGTCATTCTGTCCGTTTTTTTTTCGCAAACTAGGATGATGAATGAGTGGAACTTCCCCGTAGGTATTTTATTTATTGGAGGTAGTATAAGTTGTATATAAGCCGGATCGGATTACTATATCATAAAGCTCCTATAGGAAAAAACGAAATAAATGAAACAAGTTATAACTTCTTTGATTTTTAATTTTTACAAATAAACTCCTAGATATTTAATCTCTTTTAAATATTATTAAAGAAATAAATTTTTTTTTAAATACTCGATTAAACAACATTTTAAGCTGGAGCGTAATGAAATGTAAATTGTTTGTCAACATATCTTTCTTATAAAGTTCATCAAACTAAAACAATAACACTGAATTATTAGCAAAGGTAAATTGCAACGAAAAAGTTAAAGTTCAACAATAATTTAAAGTTCAGTAATTAATTTAAATGTTATTTCTTTGACTCGTATCTAAGTTCATTCACTAACCATACAACATATGTTGTTAGTTCATTGCAGATGTTTGCGAGGCGGCATTGGTCGTTGTCAATCCTGTTAATCCTTGAAACAAAATAATATATAATAATAATAAAATAATCAAAGTGAGCGTAAAAAGGGTTCATTAAATTATTTAAAAAAACAATAATTATTATTATTTTTTTTTTTTAATTTTAAATTGTTTAAATTGTCTACATTTAAATTTGTAGAACTTTATCCTTAACAACTGGATTTTGTCTATTGAATTATTTTTTTTAACTTGAAGAATATGTTATAATTGGTCGTAATTATAGCTTCTTTCGGTCTCCTTACTAATTAAATGCCCTTGTTCTTTTTTTTAAGTGTCTTTGAAGATGTCCCCGCAGCGTTTCAGGCCTGGTGTGCTGCTGGTCTCCGAATTGGTGTCTACTCCAGCGGCAGCGTGGCTGCCCAAAAGCTGATCTTTGGAAATAGCATAGCCGGAAACCTGCAACCCTACCTCAGTGCCCATTTCGACACCCATGTGGGCCACAAACAGGAACAACGATCGTATGAAAATATAGCCAAAGCGTTGGCAGAGGAGCCGCAGCATATACTCTTTCTCACGGATATTCCAGGAGGTAATGGATTGTTTAATGCCTTGTCACTCAGTTTGCTAATCCTGTTGTAACGCATTTTAGAAGCCGCAGCTGCTCGCTCTGCAGGATTGAAAGCCATTATCCTTCAGCGACCTGGAAACGCCGCCTTGACAGATGATCAAAAAAGCAGCTTCGAGGTGATTACGGACTTTAAACCACTTCAAAACCTAAAACTGCCAGAAAATAAACCGCTGGCGTAGGTCAATCCAAAAAAGTATACATATATTTTGACTAGGTGCTTGGAAATTAGGTGATTCTCTAGAGGAAAGCCCGGTCTACGCTGCACAGGTCGTCGCCGCTGTCGTGACTGGGCGTTTCCGTGGTAAGTCCCTGTGCTCTTCTTCCGGACCGCTTGCTCCTTTGGGACTGCCGCGAACAGGACTTCTCCGGGCCGTAGATCTTGCGCAACTGCTGCAGCTTGGCGTCCGCATCCTGCGCCGCGCACTCGGACTTTTTCTTCCTTCGCTGCCGGCTGCCCTCGCAAGAGTGGCGCATTTCCTCGCTCCGGCAGGTGTGGGTCAACTTGCCCACCTCTGGGCCCCAGAAGGTGGGTCCCTCGAGCAGGAGTGGAGCGGATTTTACCCGCTGCCGCATCATTTCCATATGCAGCTCATACTGGCGCTCTTGAAAAGCTTGTTCTGCCTTTCGGGTGGCCAGACGGATGGATAACAAAGCTTTGTGGGATTCGCTGAATGATAGAAACAAGCATAATTGGGATATTAATTAATGATAAGATGTATCTAGCGACTTAGCAATACTCACTTCAAGGAGAGCGACTTCCAAGCAGGCGTCTTTCGCACCTCCCAATCGAATTGCGGACGTGGATCATGGTAGGTGCAATTGTTTTTCAGCTCCTTAACCTTTTTCCGGGAAACTTCAGCCCTCAAAGTGGCCGCTAGATTTGGACGCGAGACCGGGTGCAATGGTGACACACTCGGCGTTCGTCTCTGTGGCGGTTCCTCTGGCAAATCAAAGATGCTCAGCGGTGGCAGTGACTTCTCTTCCTTTGGAATTGGCCCAGGTTTCGGTTTCCTTCCCCTGACGCGTCTTCCTCGACCTCTTACTGTGGTGGATGCACTACTGCTACGCTTCGAGGAGGCGGTGGGCGATTGGATCTGTATCTTGGGAACATCCTCATCCTTGCGGCAAGGGAAATAGTTGCTCATTTTAGGATGAGCGAGTTTGGAAGGCTTTGGATTTGGCTCTGAGGCGCTTGCCTGAAGATCATTGACACTGAAGCACCTGCGCAGCATTTCCCTTCGGCACTTGGCCCGTTCTGCCGTGTGCTGGCCAGGATTAACTGTCGGCTGGCAGCGGTTGTGCGTCTGGCTCTGGCTGTGAGTCTGCGTTTGGGTCGCATTGCTGCTGATAGACTTTGGCCTACGGAACTCCGCCTCGAAACTTTTAAGGGACCTCTTGAAATCCGCCACTTCTACGGCAAAGTCCTCTTTGAAGCTCTTCAGGCGGCTCAAATCTCTGAGGCATTTGTTGTACTCCTCGCTAAGGCAACTGGATTTTGAAGTATGGACGACTGCGGGACTGACGCATTTATCTTGGTGCTCAGGGATCACTAATATTGGTGGCGGTGGCGGAGGAACAGGATCCAGAACCAAAGGATGCTTTTTTATCTTTTTCCCTTTGGACGACCGCTTTTTCGACTTTCCATGACCCAACGAACTACTGCTGGCACTAGCACATCGTGCTCGAGTTGGAGCTGCAGCTGGCTGATCTCGCAGTTCACGGCTCGTGCTTCGCAGACTCTCCAGCGTGGAGTAGAACTCCGCCTGGTGCAGGTGCTTAACATCACAGTAGTCTGGAAAAAATCAAGGAAAAAGAGATACATATGTAGTAAAAATTATAATTTTCAGCTATTACATACAGTTTTTATTATACCCCAACACTCGTGGAGTAAAACGGTGTCGTTGAAAAGTTTGTAATAAGTAAAAGAAACCGTTTTCTATTAAGTATTTATATTATTGATCAGGATCAACAGCCGATCAAGTAAGAGTTGTCAAATCTTTAAATAAACTTGGATAAATTTCTAATTTCCAAGATCTCGACCTTCTTACGAACATATATGCGGACAGAGCTAGGTCGACTCTTTATAGGGTTAGTTATATACTTTTTTAAGAATACAATATACCATTTTACTTGACTGATAGCGGGTATAATAAACTTCTCAGAACATTATTAGCTCTTCAGCTTAAGGTAACCCCTGTAAATTTAATATTAAATGTATATAAATCAAAGAAAAGCTTGGTTAGCATTGCCATTACACATAGCCTACTCCAAATTTACTACCAATATTCACTTTTTGAACCTTTCTCCTTCGACAAGTGTTGGCTCCCAGCACCAAACTTACCAGGTATACTGTCGTAGAACTTGGCCAGCGACCTGACACCCATTTGGCTGCTCCACGCAGGTGTCTCCGCCTCCGGTGATGCAATGGGAGCCGAGCCCGTGGCCTTCTTGCCACCGAAAGAACAGAGTTTGGGGCGATTGTAAACTGGAGCCGGACAGTTGTTGCACGGATCGATGGGCACTTTCACACAGGAATTGAGATAGTGCGAGCTCATGCTGCGAAAAGCGGAAGTCTAGCCTGCTGGAAAATAGATAATTGTTGCAAACGCGCTTTATCAATACCAAGCACAACCTGGAGTTGTTGCCAGCGGTTACCTGGCACTGTTTGTTTTTGTGCACTTCCGTTTTGGGCACACCATTCGCCAGGTCACGCACCGATTAGCTGTCGCTGTCCTGGTTTCGGATGCACTTCGTCCGCGCAGACGCATGGGTTTCATATAATCTCGAGTCATGTTCAGAAAAGTTTAATACCCTTCCTTTGAATAGATTGATGGCAAACGATTTTACTCCTTTATATGGCCGTGAAAAAAATTATTACTATGAAATAGTGGAACTTAAACGAATCGAATAATTACTCAGCTCGTTTATAGGGATTACCACACCATTTTGTTCAAACGTCTATACTTTAAAAGTAATTGATTTTTTATATGTTTTAAATGGGACTCATAATAATTAAAATAACCTTGTTTCCCTCCTGCAATACAATACCAACCCAATACGGAAATAAGTGCCACACATTTTGTGCATATAACCCGTTGTCGCAATAATTTCAAATTCTAGCCTCCACATATAAACCGTTATACCAGAATGTGAAAATATGTGACAGTGGAATCTAGCTATTAGTTCACTAAGATAATCGATAACTGCAGGGAAAACATCGATAAGGCCGAACTTCTAAAGACATCGATAGCATAAAGGAAACATCGTTTTTGTACCAGCTCTAGCCTAGCTCGCGGAAAACAAAGACCACCAAACAGCGAAGCGGCGTATTTCGCCAGCGCAACGTAAAAACATTCGATTTCACCTGTGCGCGATTTGTGAAAATCTCATTTTTAAACGTACACATAGAAAATCGACGAACTTTTTGGCGGAGAAAACAGAAGCCAACTAAAAGAAAATCACTCACCCACAAAAATGAGGCTGTTAGCGGCAGCAACAGTTGCGCTTGTATTGCTTTTGGGCCAAGCAGCTGGCGAGGAACTCACGGAGGAGCGAGCGGGACAGGAACAGGGAGATGCGGAGGTGAGTGTGCGTGTGTTGTTTTGTTATGATTCAGCAACGCGACTATTTCGACATCTAACGCTTTCGCGAGGGCCAAAACACAACGTAATCCCCTTCAAAGTGACTAAAGCTTGGGGGCAGGGATAACGGTTCGCTTTTAAGCGGAAAATATGCAATTTTACAGTTAACTGCCACTCTCTCACCCCGCTTGCTCCACACACTCACATGTACACCTGCACACCTACATACACCCGTACTCACACACGTTCGCCATATTGGCTGATGACCCATTGTTTGTTCTTGTTTTAAGTACACAGAAAAAAAGCAGCTCAAATACATAGATATATATGAGCACACTGTCCAACTTCCTTCGCAAAAGATAACAACGGTAAATTAAAATGTCATAGGAGAGCAAAGAGATTTCGCTTTTGGTAACTAGACACAGTGTTTAAATAACAACGCAGCACAATGAACCGTACATTTGTAACTTTAGTATATTTTTTATTAAATTAAATTGTACGTTAACTTTAACTCGATATTGTTAGTTGTTATCTGTTCCGAAATAGAATGTCTAAATGTATGAAAAGATTTTCTCTGTGTTCCCTTGAAAACCTTTGTTTTTCTAGCTTCTATCTAGTGCTCTATTTCTACGCCTATTTGGGTCTTTGTTTATTCTGCGACGCGTCAGCTGTTTGCTTATCTCGTTGGCCGATGAAAACCCATTGATCCCCAGACTACGCTGTTTTTGCAACTGCTTCTTATCGGGCTATTTTAATTGGCCCCACTAGTCCGTTTAAAATTGCTTTGTGCGCTGAAATTGCGTTTTAATTTCTGCCTTTTAAGTGCATTTTCAAACAATCAGACCCGGAATTTAAATTTGTAAAGTGAAATTCACGACCTCTGATGGAATTAAACTTAATCCCATGGCACCTTCTATTTGTAGAAATTTACACTTCCAATCAAATGTTTGTTAGCAAGTTACCCTATTAAAAATTATGTGTGCAAAGAAAAGAAATAAGTCTTTAAGGTTGAAATCATCCCTCTTGCAGGCATTCAACCCCAACATTGTTATTTTGTAGAAAATGTTTTTACCAATAAATACCGACGTTTTACAAAAGAATAAACATTGCAAATTGAAGCTCGGAGACGTATTTAGGATGTTTTAAGCGCTAGAACGCGGTAAACAAGTGCCCACTTAGTGCACAGATTTTCTGTCAGCAAATTGTTTACGTAAACCAATTTATATGGAAAGCGATGAGCATCTTGCTCTAACAATAGACTTTTTACTTAGTCAAGTAATGTCGCTAGGTAGTATAAGTGTTTTCTGTTTGCATTTTCAATTACAAAGTCAACACGGTTTTCATGATGAAAAATTCAACACATTAATTTAGGAATATTTTTTTTAATTTTAAAAACTTCTAAAAAAGCTGTTTTTGAATATTTTTAATTATGGTTTTTTAAGGTTTTAAATTTGGTTCTTAGCGAAATCGATCGCAGTTCATGCGCTTACCTTAGATATAAAACTTTGATTAACCCAAAAACGTTTATTAATGTGATGCAAAAAAAAAAATGATTAGAGAAGTAAACTCTATATAATCTCTTAACAGGATATATTTTGATGTCGGGTTGCTGTTG